ACTACAAGCGCGCGCCTGCATCGGAGTTGACTGTCCTTCTGAGGGACAAAACTGAATCACGCCTCACGCTATAAAAAAATATTCAAATGTTGAAATAACAACTCTTGGAAATGCGATTTCCAGCCTTTTTAGGGGCATCCAGAGCATATAAAATGCATCGAACCCCGAACATTTTAATATTTCTCGTGAGAAATCTTTTCAACAATCGAAAATCCGAATCTCAGCGCGCCCTTGTAATATCCTCTATATATTTCTGTTATATGTGTTTCTTTCGCTTTTTTCCCCTCCCGAATAATTAATGAGCATGAGAAGTCGTTCGAAGTCCTCCAGTTCGGACTGGACGGGATTTAAAGTCCTTGCAATTAGTTCCAGTTCTCGGCAACGCCTCGAACTGATTGCGCGGACTTGAAACCCCGTCCAGTCCGAACTGGAGGACCTTAAACCACTGGAAAAAATCGCGCGCTTTAAAGGTTGTAAATTTGATGTAAATATGATGTAAGTGTCCAAAATTCTGTAAATTTGTTGTAAATCATTTACATCAAATTTACAGGAATTGTGGACACTTACATCATATTTACATCAAAATTACAACCTTTAAAGCGCGCGATTTTTCCAGTAAACATTACTAGGAGATTATCCGCTCAGTAGCGTTAAAGCAGCCGACGAGGAGCTAAAGCAGGTGAGCTCCATTTCGCTGAACTACTGGCTTTCTAAATTCGTGCAAGAAGTCGCCATTGTTTTGATTGTCTTCACTGTTCCTGAAATCTCTAGCAAAGTAGTTTTAAGCCCATGGATTGTGGACAGAATCTCATTCCTGTCAGCATTCATTCTCCATGCAATGCTGTTTTTAGCTGTTCAATTGACTTTTGTATTGGTCAATATGGTTACCGTGAGACTAGCTGGGCTTGGATTTGCCCATGGTTTGGGAACGATTACTGCGGCGAGGCTGTTGTGTTTTTATAGTGAATGTGCTGTAGTATTTCATAGTGGTTATATTTCTCTCGTTAGCTGTATCATCGATGATGTATACACATAAAGCCGTACGAGTGCTTAGTCGTTTTTAAGCCATGGACTTGTTTGGACTTCGCAAAGTTTGAAATAATCAAGCTGCTAATGGCAGCCGCTAACTCGGAGATTGTAGGATGACGCAATCTACAACTTAAAAAGGGCGGTCGCCATCGATCATGATATTTTTCCGTAATTAAAGTACAATAGGAATTGTTCAAACTAAAGCAAAAGCCGGAAATACATTCTCGTACCAGTTGCATTTTTGATGTTGAATTGTTCATGTACAATTCAAATAGTCTCATTCACGGTTACCTACGCCATCATGAAAGGTAGCCTTGCCTTCACATCGAAGCGAGACAACCGTTGAGGGTTTAATGATAGATACCTGTGAATAATTGTCTGCGAATGTGAAAGGTTTCTATCATTGCACGCTCAACGGTCGTCTCGCTTCGATGCAAAGGCATGGATACTTTTCAAGATGGCGCAGGTAACCGTGAAGGAGATTATTGCCTGTTAAATTGTGAAAATGACTGTGTATAAAGTGTAAATAACGACGACACAGGAACACACTGAAGTAACTGGTATTATCTTAATTATAATTTCCAGGTTTGACAACGTGGGTATGCGTTTCCCCTCGTATTGCCATTGCCATTTTGAGTCCATTTTGTCTGTTTCCACTTTTGATTTACATGCGTTTCTTGATAAAGAGCCAATAACAACCTACAAGAACTCTACAAAGGACACTGCGTATCAAACTTTGAAGGACGAAGACAACGGTGTCCTAAACTCAGTCACTCAATCTGAAGATACAATGTCTAAAGAATCTACCATTCGATATCAACTCAATTTCTCATTCAATGTGTTTTGAATCTGTTACTACCGATATACCGACGTCCTTTTAGTGATGTTATCACTACTGTTCTTTCTATTGTGACATTTAAATTCTCTCCCTTCCCTCCTCGTGGTCACTTATCAGTATATGCATCAGAGTTTCAGAGAACAATGCGTCCGCCATCTTGAAAAGTGGGACTCGAATCACTAAATTATAACTCCTAAGGAAATTAAAAGGTTTAGCTAATGTCAAGTTAATATAACATACGATATAATGATAGATTAGTTGACTGAGCAACTACGAAATTGTGCAAAACAGTGATTTGGGGCTCACTTTTCATGATGGCGGACGCATTGTTCTCTGAAATTCCTGATGAATGTATTACTGATTACTAAGTGTCCTAAGTGATCTTGGCCGTGTAATGCTTGGAGGGATTGATCTATCTCTTGCGTGCTTCTTTTGCCCTTGTTTCCTGGATACTATTACGATTCGTTGCATATGAATCTTAGTTTTGTTGCTTGCTGGTCATTTGTTGGTATATTCTGTCAGTTGCATGGTTTTTCTACACAGATAACGTGTACATTATCTTAGTGATATTGTGTTATTTACCCAGGGCGCAATTCCTGGCTGGTATAGCATCAACGCATATTGCTTAACTGCTGACCTCTTCGCAGATTCCAGGAAACTTGGAACAATCCTGGAATACCTTAACTTGAAAATCGGTGTATCTTTTGGCAGGCTATCAGCAGGACTCTTGGGTATATGTATGCACGTAGAGCAATATCTGAGAGACCACTGCCAACATCGATTGTTGTTGGGTCGATTCGCGTGGAATGTGGAGTACGTCCAAGAACGTTTTTTCGAGCTGAATATAAGGCCTCATTACCAATATTACTAACTTAATGACGATTACAAAGCATTGTGAGTAAACAACTTGAAATGCAGAAAACATATCAGACGTTCTTGAGTGAACGGAAGACTCAAATAGGACTGCGGGTTGTCATAAAATACATGTTAAAGATGTTGATGAAATTGTATTGTAATTTTTTGTCTATACATTGACTTAACCTGTTTACTGGAAGGTAACCAACCATGCTGTCAAGCATGCTCATGCAACTGATCTACACCAGCATGAGGGACCACCTAACAAAAATGTATTAATGTTCTTTTGGATTATGGATCTATTTCCCAACTCATGTCCTAATTGTGGATAGCAACTGAGGATATCTTAGCTGCATCCTTGCGAGCTCCAGCCACTGTTCTGATTGTCTTTACTCAGGGACCGCGGAGCGTAAACTGTTTGGGGGGGCTAGCGACGACGAGCTACTAGGGGGGTTCGGAAATTTTTGAAATCTTACAGAAATGTCATCTCCAGTGTTTTGAGGCGTTATCCAAGACATTTTTACCGCACACACGGTCAGGGATACTATCAATAAAATCCCAAAGACTTCGCAAATTAAAACTCTTCAATTTTAATTGTTCATGCTCAGTTTTAATTTTTATAGAATATGTATGGTGGAATTTCATAAGGAGGGGCTTCGCTTCTTTTTTTAAGAAAATTCAACTATGTCGGTAAAAATTATTGGGGGAGGGGGGCTGTAGCTCCCAGCCCCCCCTGCTCCGCGGTCCTTGTTACTGTCCCTGAAATCTTTAGCAAAGCCCTTCTCAGCCCATGAATTGTCCCCCCAGCATTCATCCTACACTTATCTTTGTTTTAGCTGTTCAATTCAATTTTGTATTTGTGAGTATGTAGTGTACTCAAATGAAGTATCAATCTTTCGACAGGTTGCTAAGTTCTCATATACAGGTAGAAGTATAAGTGTTATTATGCATAACTTATTAATATAACCAATGAAAATATCAGCAATATCATACCCGATTATGGCACCACACTCAGGAAACTGATGACTTGGTAGTGGTAGTAGTAATACTGATGTGGTAGTATCGGTTAAAGTGGTAATATTTGAATAATTGTCTCCCCTATAGGGTTACTCCCTATATTTGCTATTCTGGTATGTGCCGCTCGATAGGGTCTCTTTTTYGGAGCTCCAAGTCTGGGATAGGGTATTATTTTTACCCCTTTTTCTGGGATAGGGTAGTTCTTTGTCTAGGATAGGATCTAGTCTCATTGTCTGGGGTGGGATGGAGTTTCGTCTGTTATCATATCTGGTAGGCCACACTTTCAGCGCTAAAATAATTTACCTTTGCACCTTTATAGCTTTAGTCTGGGGTAGGGTACATGTAAAATCACAAAAAATTGGTCTGGGATAGAGTGAGGGTCCCGTGAATTGTCTTAGGTGCAAAGAAAAGCTATTTTGTCACTGTAGGTTCAACTCCTGTCTCACTCTGATGAAAAGGCTTGGCCACCTTTCAAGATGGTGTTTGGAACTGTATAATGAAGCATTGTACATATGAAACTATAGGACTTACGCCATCACACATTCTGTATAAATTGATTTTATCTCATTATTCACTCTTTTTAAATAATTAAATCATACAAGTTGAATAAATTATATTGTTTTCCATATGTCAAGTAGCTTTTATACACAAAAGTGATACAGCTGTTTAAGAAAAGGTTGAACACCAAAGATAGCGTACATCCAAAACTGAGATACATTTTGTTTCTACTGAAAAGTGGTTTTCCTTGTAAAAGTGTCTAAACCAGGTCAACACAGTTTAAGTAATGATCCGAGTAAGAAGCAGGCAAGCAAATGGCAATGGAATGCATGAAGGTGCTAATTGTGTATTGTATAATCCATCCATCTCATTGGTTAAAACATTAAAATCTGACATAATTTCAAAAGTAATAGCATTTTTTAACATTTTATTTAATATCGGATTCCAACTTCATAAAAGCTTTCCTTAGTTTTAATATTAATAGCAATTCTATGTGGGGAACATAGCAAATTAGAAGCATCTTTTGGCTATTGTTTTGAGTGCTTATGATTGGACAAGATCTTTTAATACAAAAGAAACTTTGTTTCAGAATAGAGTTTATCCACATTTTATTTTAGAAATGTGTTACCCATAGGTTGATATACAATCAGTTTGAAAACCAAGACGTTCGTATGTGGGGAAGTTGCAATTGCCGCAGAACAATAGAAAGTTGTCTGCTTCTTGCGCGCATTGTTACTTAAAACGTCAATCAAAAGCAATTGAGTGGGGTGGGCTTTCACCCTTCAGATGATGTAATCCAAAAGACAAAAAGTGTAAGAAGGACACAGCCAATTGGAGAAATTGTTCTGAAAGTGGTGGAAAAAAGACCAACCCACTCAGTTTAGAATTGTCAGTTTGTAACACTGCTAACATAGAGTTTAAGATATCAGCAATGCATTTCAGTCTTGGAATACACTATGCAATATTTGAGTATGCAGAATTAAACAATCATTTTCTGAAATTACTGCATACAATTCAGGAGCCAATCAAAGACATGTAATAATACAATAAGTATGCTGGGCATGTAAGGGCTTTCAAATGACTTTAATTTTCATTCAAAAATGAATAAATAAATAAAGATAATGCAGTTTGAGGGTAATATATCACAGTTAATAGAGGAGGACTATGCTATGCACAGCTATTTCTCTGTGTTGTTTTATTTTGAGTGAATTTTCTAATAGTTAATAAGAGTAGTTTTCATTGTAGAGAAGTCAACAAAACCCAAGAAATAATTATATTAACACTTAATACTAACCTCTAATTACATTGTCTTTTTCTTTTGTATATATGAATTATCACACTTTAATAGTCAAATTTTGCTTCATAGTGAGTCAAAATTTTTGCTTATTAAGCCAATAATAGCTTCACTCTTACCCATGAAACAAAATATAACAGCAAAAGAGCAGTAAAGTGTAGCAACAAAGTGAAACAAAGAAAAGTGTGTACTATAAAGAGTAATAAAGTGTAGGGCACTAAAGTGTATTTTACAAAATTAACCCTAGTTGTTCTATTCTCTCTATCATACGAAAGACACCATCCTTCTCATGAAGCTTTGCAAAACACTAGAAAAAAGGCATGAGAGAGGACTGGGATGAGTCAGTCTTTTCTCTAAATTAGGTTTTCATAAATCTGCGATGAATTAAAACTCTGACTCAGCACCAGTCCATTTTTTTTAATTTCGGAAAGATCTATCAATAGACTACAATCAAAAAGCAACAATATTTTTGCTTAATTTGATTATGGTTCACACCATACTTGAATTTCATTTTCTGGAAAAGAATCCTTAGAGAATGAATGAAAATGAAAAAGAGAATGGAAACGCTATTCCTTTCATGTCCTTTTTGAATAAAATAAGAATCTTCTCTGTATTCTTCACTTATTCCAGGAATTTGCTGAAATGCACTTTGCAACTAACTGTATCTTCTATAAAGAAATGCACTCCTACTGTATTTGTCCACAATATTCATGAGGGTAACACTGTGCTAAATCAATAGCAAAACCCATTTTTCATAATATATTTATATTAGATTGTTCTTCCAATATATTTGTTATTTTCAAACAACAAACTATTACAAGTACACTGGAACCTTTTCTTGCACAATCTTTATGAAGCAAAACTCAGTGTCATGAACTTATGATTTCCTCTTCACCAGTCCTTTCATTCACAGTTGAGAATATGYAAAAAGGTACCATCAAACTTGCCACCAAGCAAGCTGATACTGAAAGATTTCCTAATTGCATTAAAAGCACAAAGCTCATGTTCCACTTGGTGGCTGCTCGTTGTTATTCCCACATACATTACTTTGACAAGACTGACCTGACGTAGAAGCACCAAAATTTAAAGTGTCTAGAACCTCAGCAAGTCCTGCCGTGGTAACTTGACCATGTTTCTCTGATAAAACATCTGGCATAGCATTTCTTCTCCCTGTACGTCCTGTTCTAACAAAATCCTGTACCTCCATATCACATTCTTCCATTTTTCCTCACCAAATTGAGGAGTATTTCTTTTATTTCTATGGATAATGATAATGAATTCAGAAGAATATACAAGTTCAACACTTTCCTGATAAGGTAATAATTAACTGGCTGGACCATAGCTGGTAGTAAAAAGGCCATGGTCCACCAGCATGCAATGCAGTCGTGTTTTAGATTTTTCATAATTATATGGAAAATGAGGTGACTTCGAATATCCATTTGCAATCCRTTTYCATCCATSGGTTTAACGGTCGAATCTTAAAGCATCTCCATTCATATAGGATAAAGGAATAATAAAGAGTAGGTTTTTGTTTATATTATGATGTATTTCTATTTTGAAACAAACAAAAGCTCGAAAGGGATGCTGGTGGACCATGTCCCTTTAAAGTAATTTTTACTACTAATTACAGATTTTAGTAAGTTTGTCCAACTGAACAATTAAAATCTACAATGTCAATAAATTCAGAGTACAAAATGCTTCTCAACTCCACCAATTAGATAAGCCTTGACAAAAGACAGACGTCTGGACTTGATTTTGTTTAGCTAAACAGATTTTAACAAATTGAGAGTACTGCAAGATGAGAGGAGCTTGCTCCTCCTGTTAATTCTTTACCAACTGGCATAAGGTTTTTGCAGTCGTTATCAACACAGGAAGCCCAATAAATACATTGTGTTACAATTAGAATATCCCCGTAATAATTGAGAGTCTTAACAGTCACTTGGAATAATATTAAAACCATAAACACCTGTTAATACCATGTTGGGAATGTTAAAGCATTTTAGTTACTCGAAATTTTAGTAAAAACAATATAACATCAAAAAGATAAAACTCAACATGGTTGTTGAGGGTTTTTTTTTTTGTTACAAACTTTTCATCTCATTTGAAATGCCAGCCCCCAAATCTATAGGAAAATTGTCGATTTTGCCCAACACTGTAGTGTACTTGTAGCTGAAAAGATTCGAAAGTGTCGCTCAGTGCAAAAATTAAAAAAAAAAACGAAAAAAAAACAAAAAAACAAACAAAAACACGTTTTCAATCAAATATCAAGCAATCTAAGTTTGTTGTTATCTCCTATTTTAAAGCCTAACTTACTTAAATTTAAAATAAAAGACCTCAGTATGCCTTCCAGTTATGCAACAACGACAGATAAGCTTATAAGTAAGCTTACTATCATCAAAGAAAGAGAGAGAGAAACAGCGTTTGAGCTTAAGTATGACAAGAATACCATTAAAAAAACATATCTTTCTCCTGTAATTCGTACCTTAAAACTGTCAAAATCTCTTGTTCGAAAATCTGAAAATTTAATTTTGAATTAAACAAAGTTGTCGATTGAAAATGCGTTCTTCTTATTCGAGAAAACTTCAAAGGAAGTCATCTTTGTAATAAAGCCTTTGACAGAACAACATAACTTAAGTTAAGTAATTGCATAACTATCATCGATTTTAAACCTTTACACTTACGAAAAAACAATCGAAAAATAGGACAGGCATTAAATAATATAAATCCCTTCGAAGAATTTCAAAAAGAACAAGACATTAAGTTACTTTAAACAGAACTAAACTCTACTCGATCGTTGCTCCAAGGCGGGAAAGACAAGTGAAAAAGCTTCGACGAAATCCTCTTCTACGATCATCTTTCAGCGACGAACGTCTCGATAAAAGTGATTTATAAAACATTACAAACGGTATACTTACCTTTTCTGAAGAAAACAGGATGCTAGAACGGTTTATTCACTTCTGATAGTACAAGTACTATTTTAGGTACAAGACAGAGACGATTGTATCGAGGGAGTACATGGAAGTGATGACGTCATGTAAGCAAGTGACGTCATCTGATCATCTGTTGTACATGCTTCACACTGAAGAACTTACCAACTAAGCACTTAATATCAACGTTCTTACACTTAAGTTCCAGAAAACACTGTTAAGTGTGGGATGGAGCACTTGAGATACTAAATAATTGAAGGTAAGTGCATAAATGAGATATTTGTAACACCCCTCCCTCACAAACTAAGATAGAAAAATTTCACTCAGGACTGCTGTGTTAAGGAGTCAGATTATTACATGGAAATACATTGTAGAGAACAAGTGCTATCAATTTTATTGAAAAGAAATCAAAAATGTATTTGGAAATATTTAGTCTTTACTTTCAAGTAATGCAGTCTCCCTGGGGTATATTCATTAATTTTGTCAAAATTTTCACCTGTGTATCAAGTGTTTTTATTTAGAGGAAGACAGAAAAAACTGTTTAACAAAGACCTGCTTTGAGATAATTGTTTGTAAGTGACCACATTAACTCATAAAAATGACAGCGTTTCACGTCATGTATGGACCAGGCGTGAAGCTTATCTATGGAAATGCTTGTAAAAAGTTCAAAGAAACAAAACTTATATATTTGCATAATCAAAAATAAACTTTCCCCTTAATTTTTTTCCCCTCACTATCGTTTACCAAATTCTGGGTAGATGTTATCTATGTGCGTGGCTTAAAAAAATAGTAAATATACACATAATAAGGATCCTACAAGGATATGAATGTCATACAGAATATGTTGACATTAAAAAACAACAACACAAATAAGAAGATTTTGCCTTTATTTCTGATCAAAAAATCAGCAAGATCACAATGCCACACACAAGAATATTAATATGAATGCATATTAAGTGACATTGTAACAACAATTGCTTTACTATCACAAAAAGGCCACGGCATTAAGTTAACAGTTTCTACACATTAATCAGAATCACTGCCATCCTTCTTGCTTTGCTCCTTGTCTATCATTTTCTTGTATTTATCAATTTGTTCTTTGTTATGCTTGATTTGGGATTCGTGGTGGCTGATGTCCTTCTCTAGCATCTCTACCATATGTTTATGCTGCTCACGTAAAGCTTTGAGTTGCTGTTCTCTCTGTGAAATCATCATCAATGAAAATTTAGAAAGACCTTAACAATTATTGATGTCGGATTTCATTATAGCATAAAAGTTTACTACCAGTAAGTACTTTGAAAAAAATCCATAAATTATAAAGACTCGCAAAAAAATAGTAGAGTTAAAGGGACATGGTCCACCAGCATCCCTTTCGAGCTTTTGCTTATGTTTGAAAATAGAAATACATTGTAATATAAGCAAAAACTTACTCTTTATTATTCCTTATCCTATATGAATGGAGATACTTTAAGATTCAACCATTAAACCGATGGATGGAAATGGATTGCGAATGGATATTCGAAGTCACCTCATTTTCCATATATGAAAAATCTAAAACACGACCGCATTGCATGCTAGTGGACCATGTCCCTTTAACAATTACTGATGTCGGATTTTAGCATTAAAGTTTATTACCAGTAAGTTCTTTGAAAAAAATCCATAAATTATAAAGATGCGCAAAAAATAGTACAGTTAAGCAACCATCTCTCGTAAACGACCACTTTTTCCTGATCCCGAGGTGGTTGCTTACAAGAGAGTTGACTGTACTAGTAACATACAATGTACACAATACTCTTATGAGAATAGAACATGAGGAAAAAGAGCCTTACCAGTTGTCTGAAGTACTGCTCTTCGTGAGCCTGCTCCATTTTACCAAATGCTCCACCAGCTTCCCTAAAAATGGAGAATAATCATGCATTTCATAGACTTGCTCTATTGGTGAGTCTAACATATCTGATGAAACATATACTGTATTTGTATAGCTCACTGTACTAAACATATCTTACCTTATAGTCCCACCACCACCTCCTCCCTAAAACAAAACAAAACAAAAACAATGAATATATGAAAATACTCCAGTTTCGAATTCTCTTTTGTGCAAGCTTAGCTTTAATCAAGTTTATTGTCATCTTTGTACACAGAGTGTTTGCATATAAACATAGGATCTCTGCTGAATAAAAGAATATATTACATTCGTTCGAGGTTAAGACTACATAAATAAGATCTCAAAACTGGATTATTGCTGATAAATAAGGGTCTGAGAGGTCGACTGTAGTGTAGGGGAAGGGAGGGGAGGTCTCACGCTCAACATTTTCAAAACATAAATTTTTCTTTGTTCATATGCACAATTGAAATTATTTGTTTCTGAAAAGTAAAAATAGCAATTTTCCGAGGAAAGTTTTAGAGTTTTCGCGAAAATTAAAAAAATATGATACTTAAGCTTAATATTCATTGTGCAACGTTTTGCAGTTTTTCCAGATCAATCTTGTAATGCAAATAATTCTTTGCACAGTTAAATCAGCAACAATTACAAGAGCCACTTCTAACCTTGCCAGAACCGCTACCCATTTCTCCACTGCACATCATTCTAGCGAAAGAAAATTGACTAGAAAATACACGAAGACGACATGCAACCGCACGAGCCGCCATCTTGTTTAGAGTACATTAATAGTACGCATGCTCAAGAGTTAAAAACGTTATATAGTACCCAGATGTCCCAGGTGGTTCCCTATGGTCCCTACGTGCTTGGTTGCCTCCCTGGATGTAAAGTGAGGAATAAATGCTCCTCAGAAATTTTGATGTAAAGCGTCACTGAGCGACCGAGACTACAAGAATTTTTTAGTGTTTTGGAATGCCGTTCGGCTGATAGAAAGTTTGAAGCTAGTGTAAACGCGTTGTTGAATTTGAAGGAATTTCCAGTGCAATAATAATGGGGTGCTGTAAATCAAGAAATATCCTTTTCTTCGTTCTCGTACTACAGTTGGTATGTTTGACAATGCTGTCATGGATTACATTTCTTCCTAAGTTTTAATGTTTCTGTCGTAATATTTCAGAAACCGTTGCTAAAGAAACTCTGCGTTATTTTTAATTTCCTTTCTTTGTACGTGTTCTCGAATTTTTATCGTTGTTGTTTTCTAATGACAGACTTTTTTCTCTGTTTATTTCTTTAGCTGTTGGTTGTAGAACGGCTGGTTTTCGATTTTCTTGGATTCATGTGGGCTCCTATCATCTGTAACTTCATCCACATAGCGTTTGTTATCGTAGGAATATTCGGTGCTCACCAATACAGATCTCCCTATGTAATTACGGTAAGGTAGCCATCCCCGACTTTGCAAGCAGCCTTCACAAACTAGCCCTTCAAGTGCTCTTCGCTCAAAACTCGTTTGAAGTTTACAGATGAATAGCTGAGCAAATCGACTAGAGCCTGAAGGGTTGGTTTAGACACGGTTTAGTGGCTTCAGTTTGATCAATTATAACGCTTTGTTTTGTAGTTTACCAGAGATTCTATCTCGCTAAAACATTTTGTAAATGTGTAAGTTGTTGTGGTAAAAAGATATGATAACAAAGACATACCCAGTGGCGCCTCAAACAGGTGATCAGAGAAAGAAAAACTGTTAAGTCTATAAAAGAAATTCCTGTTTGATTTATTACTGGAAGTCTGTTATCAGTATATTTTCATTCTAGCATGTTTACCTAACTTGTCAATCTAGACATCTAACTCGATATCACACCGAAAATTACCTCGGCCAAACACATCAAAGTACGAATATCACAACAATGTCTTGATCATTAAAATAATCCAGAACTCATCAATTCAATGTTATAATTCACGTAGGTAATAATCATTACTCAATAAGACCCAATAAGTATGGTTCTATGTGATTTTAATTTTAGTCAAGACAGTTAACTTATATGACAACCACAAACATTCCTAATCCATTTCTTTATGTCAGAAATGTTTATGTAAAACAAATGAAATATGAGATGTTGAAAATTCAAGTATTTTCTAGATGCTTTAAGTATAGTTTACAACATGAGCGGCCGTGTTGTATGGGAATTACAATCTCGAGCCGCAGGCGAGAGATTGTAATTCCCATACAACACGGACGCGAATGTTGTAAACGACTTATAAAACTCCAACACAAATTAACATGAATTACAGTGAGATAAATAACGAAAAATGACAAATAAGGTAACTGCTGAGTTTAGTCTCTATTAAGCATGCGCAATTTACTGCAACACAGAACATTTTGAATAATTATCCATCCCACATGGAAAGCAAGCCATCTGTTGCATAAGCCAGTTCTGTTATCCGTCTTTGATTGCTTCAAAACCTAGTGAAGGTCTATGATGCGACACTAAAACTGAGACCTTTGCTAGTGTTGGGTTGTCTCAAGGTGACGACCGTGTTGTAAATCTTATACAACACTAGTGTTGTATCACAGTGTTGTATCTGATTTACAAGTTCAATCACCTGATGAAATGGACAACCCTTATTGGAGTAATAGCTCATGCATTATTAATAAGTTTTATAATGATCATTATAATTGTAGATACTAAAATGTACTTGAAGGAAACTCTTGGGATACAGATATTTTTATTGAGTATCTGCAATATTGAACATAAACATTTATCTTGTGTCCTTAACATCTGCCAATTAAACAAAACCATGCGAGACGTGTATATGGCTTATTTCAATTAAGCTGATCAATTGAAAGGGTAGAGCTGAGACCTGACTAAGTGGTCAAAACAATCCAAATATTTAATTATACAACTTTTCAGTAAAATCAGACGTTTTGATTGGTTGGCTTTCGTGTTTTATCAAAGTATAGATACACGGATTACGTCAAAACTAATTGTTTGTTGTATAAAACAGATAGATCTCATTTTTCCGTGCGTGTGTACTCTAATAGATACACAGATGACATCAAAATGTTGTAAGAACAACAGTCACGCACTCGACTGCGTCTCGTGCGTACTTTTTTGTTCTCACTACATTTTGACGTCATCTGTGCGTCTCGTGCGTACTTTTTTGTTCTCACTACATTTTGACGTCATCTGTGTATCTATTAGAGTACACACGCACTGAAAAATGAGATCTATTTGTTAAATTGAAATATTTCACACCTAGATACACCTGCTACAACATCCTTGGTAAACCAGGCATAATTATATGTTACTACTTCCTTGCTCCCAAAAATAATACCCTTGTGAAGTCTTTTAAACTTTGGTCCAGAAGTTTGAAATCACCACTGAGGTCAATTGCACGTCATGGCATGCTATTTTGCCTTCTAAAAATTATTAGATTTCATGATTGTAGTTTGTGTAAATTCCTAATAAAGGTAGAATAATGCTGAAATACATGCATTACTCTGGGGCCAGTTGTATGAAGGTTGAACAATGCTACCAACTGGATAAATCCTTATATATCCAGCAGATAAAAACCTAATATAAAATCCTTAGACATACATGTACGTTTAACTTAATTAATGGCTGAATAAAATGGTGTTAAAATTTCAACTGCAACCAATGCAGATCACACTAACTAATGAGAATAGTAGTTTAGATTTTAAAGTTAGCTGTCTTTCACTAAATGAATAATATTATATTATTCTAATTCTTACTGTTCTTTTTATTTGTAGTACTCTGTATGGAATCTACTTTGGTTTGGAATCAACTTGACTATTATTGCTCTCTACCTGGAAATTGGAATGATCACACATGTATGTTATTAAATATTTTGCTAATTCCCAATCAGGGAGCTGAACCCCATATTGGCTATCATGTAAACATGATAGATAAACATCAATAGATATTTAAACATTAGAGTGCTCGCACTAAATGCGTGAAATATAAATTATACTGCAAAACAAGTGATAAATTATACAAATTCCTTTGTTTCCTGGGCGCCAATGTTTACGTTTTAGCTAATTTGCATAAAAGTCAGAAATCGAATTTCAAGACACAAGAAAATCAAGCCCATAAATGAAAAGAACTCATACCTGTTAACAATTCCTGCAAATTTRAAGGCAATTGGTKAAATATTTSAAGAGATATCAAGCGCCGAATTTGCAAGATTTTCTAAAGAAATGACTGTGGTTGGCATTATTTTGCCAACCACTGAATGTTTTCTATAGACTTTGTAGTTTTCAAATGCCGATATCTCGAAATGTAAAAAGGCGTTTGCCCTAAAATTTTCAGGTTTTGTTGACATTAATATAATCTTGAATTATATGAGTTCAGATTGCTTATTTTTTGAATTTTATATTTTGGATGTAAACAAACTACGTCATCGTATGCCCATCTATAATCAACACTATTTAGTAGTAAATAATTAGAGTACTATTTGTTTCACGCTTTAAGTGCAAGCACTCTAGTGGTATACAGATTGTTTGGTAATATTTATTTGGGCAATAGCCAGGCATGTCGGAATTATGCGCGATAAAAATCAAAATTATGCGGAATTTTTTCCCCATATTATTCGGAGAAAAGGGTGAATTATGCGGAAAATTATGCGGGATGACGTCATCACAGGAACGTAAACTTTGGGAAATTTTACATATATTTAGGTTATTGTATTTGTTTTTCATGCAAAACTCCATTTTTATCTTAGTTACGAAGTACAGAAGGCAGTACCAACAGAAGGAAAGATCTTTTTAGACTTTTTCGTTCTCGCACGCTTTACATCTCACTTGTATCATACGCCATATTGGAATTTGTCACGTGATCTMGWAAKGCACAGGSTGACCAGTAATRCTAGTGCCCAGACTCTTTTCTGATGAAATTTTGAATGCCTGGTACATTTGTGAAGCCCACAAAAACAAAACTATATTGTTCGGAAAATTATAAGCATGTTTGGGAGCGTTTTTTGATCAAAAAAACAGTCAATGGACCACAAAAAACATTAGTAGAAGGCAAGTCATCTTAAAAAATGGTATAACATGGGAAAAAAACACGAATTATGCAGGATTATGCGCGATTTGGTAAATTATGCGGAAAGGGGGCAATTATGCGCGTCCGCATCCACGCATAATTCCGACATGCCTGAATAGCATGCAGTGTTTTGAGTGCCTGTATCGCGTTATGATGACCCAAAAGACTGGTGATACAGAATATGTGCTTTCTTTTATTGTTTGCACAAAATGTTAATCAAAGTTTTATTTTGTTTGCACGAAAAAAAATGTTTTATTGCTGTATAATGCTGTTGTATATTTGCTTCCTATAAAGGCATTATTTTTTGCTTGAAAGGTGTATACTAGTCAACTTTAGATATTTTGGTTCGATGACTGTGCAAAAGAATGCACACGAGGCTCTGGGAAAACAATGAATAATCTTGATTTATTCTTTTATTTCCGCGGAGCCTTGTCTTCAATTCTTTGTGCATGGTAAAAAATATCAAAATATCTAAAGTCGACTATTATTACATTTAAGTCATGCTAATGAAATCAGTCAATCCAAATGCAAAGGTTGATGGCTTTAAGTTGATATTAATGAGGGTAATATCGTTTTGCAGAAAGATGATTGGCTGAGCCTTAAAACAAATCACAAGAGTTGGTGGGCAAATAATGGTTTTGGGTGTGGTAGCTCATCGTCAAACAGTACGTCATCATCAATCATGTCACCTGATGGATGCATTGTCAAATATGAGGTACAGTAATGATATACAAACTACAAACAACATGACTATTTATAATTTTGGTTGTATTTGACACAATGTTTACATTTTACATCTCTGCAAGGGTGGACCAATCAAACATCACACAAAACTTAAATTTCTTCTTCTGCTCCTTAAATACTATTTTTGTTAACAGGCCCCTTGCAGTTCATTGGAATGCAGCCCCAACTGCAGGGCAAAACAATAGATTTTAGCTCCCAAGAGGGCAAAATTTTGTGTTGTCCTTCAGCTTTGATGTCACATACAAGGAATCTATTAATTTTTTGCATATTAACTTGATTTTAGTTTGTGGAGTCCATCCAGTGTGGAACAGAATGTATTCTTGCTGTAAGTATACATACATACTAAAAAATTAACTTATACTGTTGTATACTACTCTGAAGTTCCGAATAATCATATAGAGCATAATAATAGTATAGAGTGGAAAAATACAAATTTACCAATAATAGTATAGATCGGAATAATAGTATAGGGTGGAAAAAACGGCAGTACTGGCAGTTTTCCCGCATTTTTTTGGCAAAACCGCTGACTTCTCCCCAGTTTCCCCTGTGATCAAATCCGCTGACCAGATGATTTGTGCTCTTAGTTTGCTGTTCGTTCGCGGTTTTGTTTTCGTTTTAGAGACAAAAAGTCTGTCTTTTTGGCAACTTTTTTCAATTTTTTTTCTCACGATATTGTTAATAACTAATTAAGGTAGGCACAGAGAAAAAWAWTGTGAAAATTAATAATYRTACAGTCCCAAATAAGGCCGTATAGAGTGGAATATTTTGCCAAAATAAATAAGCGTATATATACAGGCATGTCGGAATTATGCGCGGATGCGGACGCGCATAATTGCCCCCTTTCTGCATAATTTACCAAATCACGCATAATCCCGCATAATTCGTGTTTTTTTCCCATGTTATACCATTTTTTAAGATGACTTGCCTTCTACTAATGTTTTTTGTGGTCCATTGACTGTTTTTTTGATCAAAAAACGCTCCCAAGCATACTTATAATTTTCCGAATATAGTTTTGTTTTTGTGGGCTTCACAAATGTACCAGGCGTTCAAAATTTCATCAGAAAAGAGTCTGGKYACTAGCATTACTGGTCACCCTGTGCCTTACTAGATCACGTGACAAATTCCAATATGGCGTATGATACAAGTGAGATGTAAGCGAAAAAGTCTAAAAAGATCTTTCCTTCTGTTGGTACTGCCTTCTATACTTCGTAACTAAGATAAAAACTGAGTTTTGCATGAAAAACAAACACAATAACCTAAATATATGTAAAATTTCCCAAAGTTTACGTTCCTGTGATGACGTCATCCCGCATAATTTTCCGCATAATTCACCCTTTTCTCCGCATAATATGGGGAAAAAATTCCGCATAATTTTGATTTTTTTCGCGCATAATTCCGACATGCCTGTATATACGATTATTCGGAACTTCAGAGTATTATAACTTCTAACATACTATCCTTAACTCAGAGCAACTTATCTGAGAGTATTCCTTCTTTGTACTATTTCAGTTCATAGGTTTTTGGCTTGGCTGCTGGTTTGTGAGAACATATCATGAAGATGATGACCACTGTAAGTGATAGTAGTTTCATAAGTGTAAATTTATTATAACACTAAAGAGGTACATACATTGTACTTGTACTTGCGCAAGAGAGCTAAACTAGGTGCCTTTGCATAGCTGGGTTTCATGAGGTACATGTGAACACTACTAGGTTTTGTTTTCAAGACTAGGAAGGAGGCAAAAGGGAGGATTGATGTACATGTACAGTACTGCAAAAGGCAAAAGTGTTGTTTTAGATTAACACCAACTGTTGGACGATGTGGAAGATGTGTTACCATATTGATTTGGCAAATAAAATCCCACTTCTAAGACTTTGTCTGTCAAAGAAGGGGGGTTACACACACCTCTCGAAACAACAATAAAATGAGAAAATTTTACCACCTTATTAATATGTTAAATTGAGTGTTGTTTGACAAGCTAGTTCATGGTTATTGGTTTGATAATAAGTTGTGTTATTATATATATCAAGTGTCAAAGTTCACTTTTCCTAGTATCTTATTGGTCGAGAGTGTACCACGTGAAAGTCACAAAATTTTACTGTTTCCTTGCAACTGTCCACCAGCGGTCAATAATATGTTGTGGACCGTCAATAAGTACAAAGTCGCAGAAAAACAATCTTCAGTGTCGTGAAAATGTCACATTTACGGACGTTGCAATTCCAAAATTGTTATGAAACATTTAATTTCGACTACAAATAGTTAAATTAGTATTCATTGTGTTATTACATTGATTGATTTTAGTGACTATTTGTATTGCCATTTTTCAGTTATTTTATCAAAATCTTTAAKWAAARCAATTCATTTATTTACTTTTTTTGCTCTCTTTGACACTTGATATGATAATAAAGCACTCACACTCGGGAAACAGCATGTTTTGCGGTCCATCGACCGCTGATCAGCGGTCTCGGGAACACAAAACATGCTGTTTCCCTTGGTTCCAGTAAATAAGTGTTAATTATTTTATCCTTGAATAGTTGATTACATTGGAGGATTTGACAGCTACTCTGCTTACCATCCACCAACCAAATCATCAAGAATGCAAATGCAGCCAATGTAAGTTTGACTTTTGCCATTAATGAAATTCATGAAAATAATATAAGTACTACATTGTATTAATGAAAAGATAGATTGCAACTAGGAAGGATTGTGACTTTTTTATAATAATTTTCAAGTTTACAATATTTATGAATTTTCAGTGGCAACACAGATTGTTGTTGTTGACAATCCATATATCCTAGACTTGACCTGCCATAAACTTGTGTTTAACCTTATTATAATTGCAATTCAAATGCATCAATTCATTCAAATGATGTCATGTTTATGCAATGCTATTTTCGTATCAATGTTAAATAGCACTGACAAGTCTTACAGATGCAGTCTATTTCGGTAGAGTGCATTTATTATATTATTCAATGGAACACTTATAACAAATTGCACAATACTACAGTAATGAAATAATAGACAATAGGCTTTGTACTAAATTGGCCAAAGCTCCTTTAGCGTTGTAGTTCACTGTCACACCATTTTGATAGGTAGCCAGGCAATTTGCATCAAAGCAAGACAGCTGTTGAGTGCGCAGTGATAGATACCTGTGAATAATAATTTTCTGTGAGTTTAAAGAATACCTGCTCAATGATTGTCTAGATTTGATGCAAAGGTTCAGGTACTTGTTAAGAGAACCATAAAAGAGAGTTAGCAAACCATTTCTTGGAATACAGTCGATCCTCTATTGCACAAAAACGCTTTTAAAATTTCCAGGAAGGATATTTAGTTATTAATTACAAATCCAGATGAAAAGCAATCAATTTTGTTGCCATGGTACCATATTTTTTGCAATTTAAGATGTCTTGAATACAGCCTTTTGCAAAAATTATGAGAATTGTTGTCTATATAAATATCATAATATCAAGTGCATGGTCTCGCGCGATGCCCTTAGTCCCTTGTCTTTGTTGTTTAGTTTTTTTTGGCGACGGACTTATCCGTAGCTCTGAACATTTTCTAGATGTCAACAATGAATTATTGTAGCAAACCCGCGTGTTCCGGACAATATATGGATATGGATTTTATGATATTGAGATATTTAGACAATTCTCATAATTTTTGCAAAAGGCTGTATTTTGATGAAGAATTTAAAAATACATAATATATACAATGTATGCAAATGACTTTGTTGTAATTTTCTTTTGTCTTACAACTGCACAACATTAATGGGATTTATTGTGTATAGCAAGTGTAATTAATGGTGTAATCTCCATTCAGCAATGAATTGTAATTTTCTCCTTTCTTGAAATACAGTGTAAGTTAATATTTTGAATGCATATCTAAATTATTTTATCTTTTGCAGAGCTTCATAAAAACAATGAATATGGTTCAAGACCAATTAATACCCGTGTTCGAAAGCCATTTGTTTTCTTTAGAAATTTTCAATTAGTGAATTCAATATTTTTATTTCAACTTGAGAGAGAGTTGACTTGAGGACACTTTTATGTTTAACTCAGCAAAGGTTTGGTTGAATTCGAAAGACATTTGAACTAGTTGACCTAGTATGTAAATAACAAATAAGAATGTGTTTGAAGTGTGTGAAGTGAAGTACAGATTTTACAGAAATTGCATATCTGCAATCATTTGTTTTAGACCTTAAGTCTCCTTTTCACATGGTTGCATAACACAGTACCATCAGATAACACACTTCAACAATTTTTTGTTTTAACACACTTGCAAGTAACAAAAGAGAGTGAATGATATGCTATCGACTATAATGTCCATTTGTCAGGCCCTCGACTTTTTAAAGCTGTGATCAACTGATTTTGCAAGTGTGAAAAATTTAACCTGAAAGCAGCTATTTCAGAAAACACTTAATACATTTAATTGGTTCTGCACAATGCATATCAAGACTGCTATGCGCTGTTGCTATTAAATTCCTTAACAAAATGACAATTCTACACCTACTTGCTTTCCATTAAAAAAAACTATATGGAGCTGGTATTCTGACTTTTAATCAGTATGGAACAACCAAATGTGTATTTATTTGAATGCACTATCCTATCAGTATCCTACAATTCCTGAAATATATGAATATATGGACCAAGTCATACTATGAAATACATGACATAGAGATGATAGAAAGTTATAGAGCACTGGTATAAATTTCTATCATTTCTATTTCATCTTGTGTTTTCTGAAATAGCAAAATTTATGGAAAGATATAATAATATAACACATTTTTTTCCAGACTTTTAGACTAAACATTTGATAATTTATAGTGTCCTTTCATCAAAGTACAGCATTCTTTTTGTGTATCATGATTTGAAAATGCTGCAAAACGTTTATAGACACCTTGCATGTGATGTCAATGCAACTTCATCTTGGGAACTTGAATCCATTGTTTTGACCTCTTGTTGGGGCTGCATTCCCATGAACTGCAAGAGGTCTACATAGCTTCCTCCATCATGGGCATTTCTTTAGTTTTTAATTTCGGGCACCCTGTGGAAAAAAAGGAAAGAAGTCTGGGGACTTAAGGAGGGAAAAGCCCAACACAGGAAGCCCACTATTCTTAGAAAAGGAAATAGAGACCTGTGGAGGAGGCTGAAACATTTAGATCACATGATTTTGTTTTTTTAATATTCAAGACACTAGCCTGTTTCATAATGGTTATATATAATCTTATTCTAGTTGGGCAGGAATTCTCCAAATGTACATTCAAAAAACTACATAAATGTAGTTTACATTTTGAGTTATTTTCTTAAACCTGTGAAGTAACTAGCGTTTATACACCTACTTAAAAATGTCTTGGTTTCAATGACAACATTAAAGATAAGACCAAAAGGGAGCAAGAACTATTTATTAGATAATACAGTGTGTATGGAAGTGTTTTAACTCCCAAACTTTTACTGTACTGAATCTAATCACCTTTACTCAACAAAGAATATATAATAATGTTACTTTAGGCAAATATAAGATATTATTCATAGACTTGCGACAAGTCAGACTCTCTTTGGACTCTCAAAAAATAAAGGAAATTTTGAGGGTCGAGCAAAAAGGGGGGATAAAAAAGACTTTGTAAAATTCTTGATAACTCAAAATCCTTTTTGGTCATAGCCTTGATGATGTGATTGACAACATTTTAGGTGTATGCTTATTGAAATTTTATGTGTTATTGTTTTATTTTTGTATCAATTTGGCTTAGTGTTATACAATACATATCACAGTACAAGCCTTAAGAGTGTGCAATACGAGTACTAAGCTTTAGTATGCAAATTCTATTGTTTTCTGTTGTTTTTGAGCACTTTTGAAGTACTGAATGATAATCTAAAGTTTTGCGCACATTTAGTGTTTGTACTTCAATATTCATTTCACAGGTTTAGGGAAATGACTCCACCATAGGCACTAATATATTATATAAACCAAATAAGTGTATTATAACACAGATGTAATAACCTTTCTTCAACTTACTATAATATATGCAGCAAATTGAAACTATTGCCAGTTATGTATGTCAGTTATTAGTGTAGACTAGAATCATGAAAACTGTGCAAAGTTTGGCACAATTCAGCGGTAAAAAGAAGCTTTGTAGTCACCATAGCAACATTCACTTTTTGTGTTTATCAGTGTAGCATTTAGGGTGCAAATTAGCCTCAGTATCAGGCTTTCTCCAAGGGGATTGGGGCAGAGTCTCCTGTGTCGCTCTGCCCCAATCCCCTTCGAAAGAGCCTGATAGGCTATGTACAAATCAGTAGCAGATCCAGTAGAGTCAGTCGTAGAACTGTCCTGCACCATTCCTTGAAGAAAGTTGAGATCTGCTGAGAAAGATCTGTCGTACCACTTCCATATATGGTTGTGCATTTACAAGGAATCTTATCCACCCACACTTCGTAGTTTCGTTATTTATGAATGCCGTTTTATAGATATAACAAAAAACTTAGTTCACTCAAAAGAATTGATCTCATGACTTAATGAGTAGGTATAGGGAAAAAAATAGGGTTAGGCAATGCATAGCGCTTGCTCGGTGCTTAATGCTCTTTGAAAAAGTTGTTCACATGATAGGGACATGAGAGCATTCTATGTCAGTACATCAGAGCCATGTCTATGCACAACCATATATGGAATTCTCAGCAGATCTCAGTTTTCTTCAGGAAATGGTGCAGGGCACCCAAGGATGTACTGCTCAAAAATTATCCCCCAAAGGGGACACATGTTAAGGAAAAAATATGTGAAAATCTAGGGGTGCTTTCCATTTAGGCGGAACTGGCCGGCTAGTCCACTCTATTTAGAGGTATATAATGCTTTTTGTCAACATTTTTCAGTTATTTCGAGGTTTTCTGTAGAATAATGGATAGAATTTGAAAATTTGAATTTCCTAACTAAATGGAAATGTTATATAATGACATTTTCTTGGGTCTGACCAGCCAGTTCTGACAAATAGAAAGCGCACTAGGGGTCCCAGGACAAGATGCACAAACCCTTGCACCCACCCGCTGGATGCGCTACTCGATTATCAAAATACTGATCATGAATTGTTAAACTCAAACTATTAAGAAATTATTAAAGTATAAATCTTTTATTTTTTTGTAGCAATTATTGTGTTTAAATGTAAGTTTTCACGAATTTTTGTTGTGTAAACTAAATAAGTAGCCTAGTCGTTTAAATAGAGAAATGTTCGGCAATAAAAAAAAAAACAAACTACTAGTATTGGTGGTTTTCAATCATTTCCGTGAGATTCAAAAATACCGGCGGCCATGTTGGTTAAATGAACAATAGAGTACTATAATGAGGAATACTTTGTTTAAGTTGGGTGACCCAATCAATATTCTTCGTTTGTCGGGGCCGTACACTGGAAAAAATCGCGCGCTTTAAAGGTTTTAAATTTGATGTAAATATGATGTAAGTGTCCAAAATTCTGTAAATTTAATGGAAATCATTTATATCAAATTTACAGAATTTTGGACACTTACATCGTATTTACATCAATTTTACAACCTTTGAAGCGCGCGAATTTTTCCAGTGGTAGTCGCCATAGTCTCCTCGCATCCGTTACGAGGTTCGTTCCCAGATCTCTCCCACTAAGGAATAAGGAATTTCATTAAGAATCCGGAATCTGTCAACATGCAAGGCGGATATGACGTCATATATACCCCTAGATTACATCCAACAACTACTGGTTCAATGTTCGTCCACCATCCACATTGATAACTTGTCCTGTTACATAACTCGCTTCAGTCAAGTACTGAACGGCTAAAGCAACATCATTTGCATCACCAATCCTCCCCATTGGAATCCTCTCCATTGTTGCCTCCTTTTTCTCGTCGTCATACTCAGCGGTTTCCTCTTCAGGCCAATAAATCGCACCAGGAGCGACTCCGTTCACAYGGACGTGAGGCGCGAAGTCGTGCGCGAGCGTTAAAGTTGCCATGTGAAGTCCTGCTTTGGATATGCAATAAACTGAGTTGTTAGAGAGTGGTCGTAAGGCATGGATGTCAATGATGTTGACAATGCAGCCCTGAGAAGCTTTCAGTGCTGGGTATGCTGCCTGGAAAAGATACAGTAGATTGTGTAAGAGAGAAATTCACGATTTGCGATTATAAATGCCATAAACATATCGATGATAGTACGATATTGCTCGAAATAAATGAAACTTAGTTTTGCATTGAATGCGCAGGATAATATGCAGATAATGATAATGAATTATAAAGTCGTTAATAAGAGAGCCAGCGCTTTTTACCAATTAGTCAACCTCACTTATTACGCTACTTCCAGCAAAATGTCGGAAAACATTTTAACAAAAACAAAATCCGTCAAAACGCCGTCATCCCAAGGAAAGTAAGTTCCGTGTTTGCACATTTAATCTCTACTGCGGAAATCTACTCTCCTCGCAGACGTTCTAAGCGGCGGGCTCCCTGTCTTCCGGAAAAGGGAGCCTGCCAGTAAGAACGGCTGCGAGGAGCTACGGAAATCGTGCTACCGCGATACTTCTAGCTCTCCTCTGACGCATAAAGCGGCCCGTTTACACTTGCGATTTTTGCAGAGCGATTGTCGCGGCGATCGTCGCGAGACCATCGACTGAGTTTCGAACAGCGATTTACCATCTGGGGTTAACACGTAACACGATTTGATTTGCGCGATAGAAAAATGTTGATTATCGCGCTGCAAAAATCGCTAGTGTAAACGGGCCTTAAGAAGTCCCGACCTCTGAAAACCAAGTCTAAATACATACCTGACACAAGAAGAAAGGAGCTTTTAAGTTCGTCTGAATAAGTTTATCCCAATCATCTTCGTTTATGTTTCCAACAACGGTAGGGTAGAATACTGCAGCATTGTTGACTAGCACATCCAAACGTCCCCACACAGCCGTTGATTCTTGAATAAGTCTTTCTGCAGTACTTTGGATGACGGCTTTTAAATCAGCTTGAATATTACACGCGGAGTCTTTGCGAGCACTAAAATGAGCCATGCATGAGAATCAATGTTCAAAATAATGAAAACATCACAACTTCCGATCATTTTCATGTTTGATTATTGCATACACCAATTTCAAAGAACATTGTCGGGGAGAACGACGATTGTCGAATAAAGATTGCACGACCGAAAGGGACTATGGTTACACTGTTTTGACAATTAACCCTTTTCNTAGGTCTTCTATTAGCAAAATTATTATAAGAAGTTGTACTTCCTACCTTATAAACACGTCTATTTAAATGATTTATTCATCATAGTCTTCATCTTCATCATCATCATCATCGCTTTCAGGATTAATTTCTGACATATTGTCACACTTAAGTGAGCACAATTCGGTGCACTTTAAACCGGCTTTCATACAGGAGCAAGAGTCTATTGTGCACCTTCGCTTGCAGCTGCACGACAGAAGTTCAAGTACCTCTTCAGGAGCTGGTCTAGATCCAAGCCACACGAAACTAATACTCGAAGAAGCAAHGTCCCATCCGTGCCCATGTGGCGATGGGATTTCAGGACACTCCTCCAAGGACCTTCTCCAAATAGCCGCCTGGTAGTTCGCACGTAACACGTGAAGACGCAACGATGACCGACATGGCGGTAGTGYCTCAGGTTCCACTTTTCCTCCTTYTGCACAGTGTAATTCATATCGYAATGAATCAACGCTTTTACACAGCTTCTTCCCATACAAGTGACAAACGAACTCCTCTGCTCCACTGAACACCGCATCGTTTGTGTCACATTCTTTCCCGATATCTTTCATCGTTTTCACATAGATTGGGTTCTTGAGCATTAAYTGTACTGGCCTCCACTTACCCTTTGAACTAAATGCTGACACTGTATCACAGCCAGTTAACGCGTGAATTCCAAGGAGAGCTTCACAAACTTCTTCTTTTCGTACGCCATCTACTGTCTGGGTTAGTAGCTGGTCGWCAACTTTAGAAACTTTAATAATTCTCCTTTTYGCTCCTTTACCTTTCTTTAAGTAACATTCACTCATGGTGTGGGAGTGTCCAAGAAGCAGTACAAGGACGTCTGTGTCCTCTGAGTGGATTACGCATTTCCCTCTTGCGTGCTGCGCATGTAAAAGCATGCGCGTGTCAGCTTCTTCGTGATCGCTCGTAAGTTCTTGGACAATACTTGAGCCTGATGTAGAAATCTTGAAACATTTCTTTTCTTCAGTAACAAAGAGGGTTTTGTTTTCCAGCTTGTTGCGCACTGGTTTCTCCTGCCATTGGGTTACTAAAAACCGCACCAATTCAGCTTTGTTCTGCGAGACACTTAGGATTTTGTGCCAGTTTTTTACCTTAAAAGCAGGCAAAATGTTCTTGTAAGTCGTGACTCCCTCTGATCCTCCTCCACGCTTCGCTCTCTCGGAATTCTTGATAGAAATGTCACGATAAACATCGAACACTACATCAACGCGC